GGACTCATGGTGATCCTCCTGCTTTCGGCCTCCCCAGCACTGGGATTACAGGCATGGGCCACTACACCTGGACTCTGCCAGCTCAGCCCTCCCTGGGGGTGGGGCTGGCACAGCGTATGATGCTGCAGTCCCTGTGTTTGCCTAAACTTGCCTAAGCGAGGGCTTTAGTCTACTGAGCTATCTCATTGCCCCCTTGGCTATTTCTTTCCGGGCTCAAAGCCAGCAGAAAGGAAGGTCTGTCTCTCTTAGCCATTTAAGGAGAACCGTGGCCTATCATTCGCTGCCTATGAGATACTCATGAGTTGACAGTTACTGTGATCAGAGGGAATATGGTACTTTGTTTGTTAGGGCTCAGGGCTCTGTCCAACTCTGTAATATGTGGACCAAGAGAAAAGGAAAGAGTAATTTTCCAAAACAAAATTGGAAATAAGAGTAATGGAAACTAGATGACCAAGCAGTTTCTATACATTAAAAACAACTTAAAATGGGTCTAAGATAGTATAATTAATGTATATAAATAAGATACAGTATAGACCTGTGTACTCCTCTTTATTCATGATTTTTATGTTGTTTGTTTTTACTTCCAGTTTTACTGAGATATGATTGATTTATATGAAAGTATACATATTGGGCCAAGGAGAGAGCTTGGTGGTCTTAGTGCCTGCCTGGCAAGTGCAAGAACCTGGGTTTGATCCCCAGTGTCACATGCCATGCCAGCCTCACGTTGTGCCAGCCACTGAAACTAGGCATGGTGACACATACCTGTAATCCCAGCAGTGGGGAGGCTGAGACAGGACGATCACTGAGCTGTGTAGTGAGCTCTTATACCAAATAATTAAATGAATAAAGCTTAAAAAAAAGAAGTGTACATATTTATACATTTGATGAGTTTTAACATAAGTGAACCATGGCCACAGCCAAGATAGTAAGGACTGCACATGCACTAGCTCCAGATGTTTGCTTGTCATTTTGTAACCCATCTCTTCCTGCGTTGCCCATTCATAGGCAGCCCTTAGTTAGCTTTCTGTCCATGAATTCTGTCTGTACACTACTTTGCATTTTATATAATTTTACATAGATGGGATTCTGCAGTAGGTTCCTTAAAATTTATTGTTTTCAGAAAGTGGCTTTCATTTTCTTCTTTTTCTTTATGTTTTGGCTCTTCTCAAATGGGTTGTATAGATTGATCAATTTCATTTTGGCAAATACATGTGCAGATCACATTTTGATCATTTTCACACACTCCCCTCCACTCCTGTCACCCCTCTGCCCAGTTTCACATGTTTGGGGGATTTAAATGTGTGTAATATGCTTTATTCTTATCCACCCCATGACAGTGCCTATAATTTTGTAACAAGTTTTTCTACTCAGACTACTTTGAGCTCCATCCAAGTTATTATATCAATGGCTATCTCTTTATTGTTCACTATTACCACCATTTCTTTCTTCTTTGTCTTCTTACATTTTGTTTTCCATCCTTTGGTACCAGGGATTGAACTCAGAACCTTGCCCTTGCCAGACAGGTGCTTATGATGCTGAGCCAACTCCCCGTCTATATTGTTCACTATTAATTCATTGGATGTATGTACCACACTTCATTTATCAATTCACCTATTATTGGACATTTGGATTATTCAAGTTGAGCTGTCATAAATAAAAAATGCAGTTGGGAAACATTTAGCTAAAATTCAAATTTCTTTTGTTTAATGATAGGTGAATTATGCATAAGCTCAATGTTCACTATAATGTCTACCAAAAATGTGATAAGACTTTTTCCTCTTTTCTTTTCAGATACTGAGAAGAGCTGACAAAAATGGTAAGATGAGACTACAGTTTCTGTTTATTAATTTCAATTTTCAGACTTCCTTATGAAGAATAATAAGGATGTGCCCTAAAACTTGACCTCTAGGATTCCAATTTACTGAACTAGTCACAATTTCAGGCAATTTTATAGGTCTTTATATTCATGGATGGTGGCAGAGATATTTACTGTATTTGCCAGGGAGGGTGGAATATAAATTACTGCTTTGAAGTAAGGGGTCCTATTGTATTTATTTTCTCTTTAATACTTCCAGAAATAATTTTACAGCAATACCAGTAATCCCATAAAGGCATTGAGTGTCTTTTGTGTGCAAGGCACTGAGCTGTGTGTTTTACCTACATCCTGTTTCAGGATTATTAAGATTTAAACCCAGGTATGCTTGATACCAAGGTCTAGGATCTCCACTTTTCACTCCATAGTGGCTTTTGGGATGATGCTGTCCTCTAGAACATTTGTCTGAAGCCATCTGATGGACACCATGTTTCCCACTCCCATTTGATGTGTATGCACTAGGGCTGACCCATCTACAGAAAAGTAAGAAATGGCAAAGCCAAAAGTAAAAGAAAATTTAGTGACAGATGTACAAAGTTCAATTTTGGGCTTTACTAAGCAATACCTTTCTTTCCTTTATTCCACTAGAAATTTTGTTTCATAGAATACCAAATCAGAGCTTTTAAGCTTTTTCTAATGCTATAGTGTGTGTTCTATGGTGAAGACATATTATCAACAAGAGTGTCTTTTCCTTTCTTGAAATCTAATTTTTTATATATGTGGAAACATTAAAGCTAGAATATAGAGCCGACAGTTTAAAGACATAAGTTGTTGTGTAGTTTCTTCTTAAGCTGTGGATCAAGAAAAGCTTGACTGACACTATATACCTTTCCACCCAGGGAAAATGTATCCGTTCAAGGAGCAAGAAAATAGAATCCCAGGTCCTGATAGCATTTAACTGTGCTTGGCCATGAGAATTTGTTTTTTCAAATTATGTAGTAGTGATTGACACATTACCAATTCAGAGAGGCTCTTAAATTGCTTCACTTGAAACCTTTGATTACTTTCTAAGACTTTTTAAGACGTAAGTAGTGATATTTCCATCATCCTTCTGTTGCTTTGCATTTTGCCCGATATCCAGCCCCCATGTTGCCCGAAGGACAGTGCAATAGCCCATCAGCCTTTGTGTGTTTATTTCAGCAGCTACCTATAGCTCAGAAACGCCTTAGCTCCATCCAAGCTCTGGTTGTCTCAGGCTATTGCTTTATTTCCCTGGACCCCAGGCCTCTAATTATAGACCACCACTATACTTGCACCTATCATTATTCTTTTTATCAAAGTTATACTCCACAGTGATAAAAAAATCAAAATGATCATAATCCATAGTCATGATAAATAGCACCTGGCAAGCCAATTAATATTATTTGATGGCTCATGATAACCTCATATAATAAGCTACATGGGGTAGTCATGCTGGACACTCTACTCCCCATTTTTCTCTATCTGCCTCTCCTCCTGCAATGCCTCTTTCCTCCCCTCTCCCTTCCCTAATTCCTGATACTACCATATTGTGAAAGCTGCCTCCCCTTTTACTCCTACCTCATCAACATTCATCCTGTTCTGCAGCCCACTGAAGCACTGAATTCTCAGAGCAGAAGCATTAGTCACCTTCCCATTGTTGAGACAAAAGAATCAATACTTGAAGCTTAAAGGAGGAAAATTTTATTTAGGTTCCTTGTTTCAGAGGGCTCCACATGGCTGGCTCAAGGCTGAAGGAGGCAGGGCTTGGCATGGGAAGCTGCTCAACCCACAGTGGCCAGAAAGCAGCAAGAGAAGGGAGGAGCCACTGATGCATCCTTCCACGTCCCCATTTATTGACCACTCCACCAATCAGGCTCTGCCTCCTAGCAGCAAGTGAATTAATCTACCAACGAGCATGGTGGTCTCATGATCCAGTCACCTCCCCAAAGCCCAACCTCTGAAAAGCACATGAGACTTCGGGGGACATTTTACGTATAAACCCTAATAATATCCCTCCATCTGCCACACTTTTTGATGCTGCCTTGCCTTCTGCTTGCTGTAACTTTCTGCTTTTTGTCAGTCTGAGAAACACATATATTCCTTATATTCTTGCTCAAAAGATCACTTATCCAGTAAGCCTTCCCTAAGCCCATTGGCAGGGCCCCACCCTCTCTGAGGACTCAGCCCTTCCACACATGGTGAGGATTGCCCTGGTGGAGGAACACACAGTTGTTTTGCTGGCCATTTTACTTCTCTAAGCCCCAAATTCCTTTATAGGACAAGATATTTGTCTTATGAGTAGACACTATGCCTGTCCAGTACTAAGTGCTCAATAGATGTTTGTTTAATGAATTTTTAATTGAGGATGTTTAACTGCACTACCCTTCTCCCTTCTATCTGACTAATCTTCTGGCTGCCTGCGATGCCACTGCATTCTTCTCCCTCATTTTCACAGTAAATTTGTGGGAATATAGAATTGAGCAGGCTCTGGGTTTAACCCGTGGCTATGGTACCTAGTGATCCCACGTACGTCGGAGAGCTGTGATGTATCATCAATGGAACAATGCATTTAGATTCCAGGCTAGTGCCTGATACACAGTAAGAAGTTAATACTGAACACCGGGGTTATTTCATGTGTGTGAGTGTGTGTGTGTGTGTGTGTGTGTGGCCATGACTATCTCTCTCTCTTTTTTTTTTTTATTTTTGTATTTTAGGGAAGGGTCTACAGGGTGTTCAGGGTCTCACTACTAGATTGGACGCCTAGTGATCCACCTCTTTACAGCCTTCCAAGAGCTGAGATTTCAGGCATGTACCGCCACACCCAGTCTCACTTGCTGTCTTAGCACACCCCGGGGGCGGGGCCGGCTCGGCAGGCCTGGGGACCAAACCCCTGGTCTTTGTGCTGACCATGGCTCTCTGAGACTCTTAAGGACATTTCAGTTGTTTCTAGTGCAGTGGAGTTTAGTGGATAAGAAACCATACAGCTGTTTGCCATGCATGCAGAACTGAAAACTTTGAAAGAGTTTGGGTGATCGAATGTAAATAAAAACATAAACCCCCCCATCTTTCTGTACCATGTGTTCATTGCATTTTGTATTTGTAAATAAACAGCTGTTACATGTGTTTGATCTCTACTTGCAGATCCTTGTGTCTTAGAATCCCTTGTGGGCAGCATAATTGGTGATGGAATAATGAAGGAAATAAAAGGCAATAAACACTAGGATAGCTATCCTGCCAAAGGACAGATTTAGCACTTGGACTCTATCTGACATAAAGGAGGAAAACTGCTGGGTACATGGAGGGAAAATACATGATTAGTGATTAGCTAAAATAATGGTGTGTTTGAGGGATTTTTTTTTTTTTTTTTGCAGTTTGGTTGTTGTTTTAAAATCATAGCCTAGGATCCTAGACATAAAGATAGACCTGAAAATAAAATTGCTTAGGGATGATGCGCGTGCTTTGATCTAAAAAGCCCAGAATTAAACCTAGAAATGTGAAATGCCTCAGAAAGCTTACTGACATTAAGATTGAATGAAAATGGAAATGG